TTGCTTCCAGAAGTTGTGAATGTCACTGGAAGTCTTTAAGAAGATGTTGGATAGCCATTTGTCTGGAACGGTATAGGGTTTCCTGTATTGTAAATAGTCATTTTTGTCATTTCAGCCAACTCCATCAGCTTTTGCAACCATTCGTCCATGGTAGGAATCCAAGTGTCCCTCCATTTTTATTATTTTGATTAAAGAAAAGAATATAAGTATTTTTGTTTCCACATGGAGAAAGCTTCTGAACTTTGCACTTGAAGTGGAAAAAAATGAAACTTTTGGGTTTTAAGAATTAGATTGATAGATTCTTATAGAAATGGCTAGTTTATGTTATTACGGAAAAAAAAGTTGTGGTTTGATGTTAATGCTTTATTTTGCTTCTTTTTCTTTTTCCCAACTCTTCCTCACTTGTCTTCCTCCCCTTCCCCCACCCCACTGCTTTCCTATTTGCTTTCGTATTTTGTATCTTATTTAATCTTATGACTCAATAAAATGCTAAATGGTTAAAAAAAAACCACAGACTAGATAGCTTGCCTGTAGTTTCAGATGCAACTAAAAAATAATAACAAAAACAAACCCCCGATGCAGCTCCTTTCCCCAAAGAGGTGAATACTGTGATTATTCAAATCCAGAGCAAATGCTGAACTGGTGCTATGATTCTCGGCACTAAAAGAAATTAATGGGGATTTTTCCTCCTCGCTTTCTCCTATTTTCTCTGCAACTTCCTAAAGTTTTAAAACAATCTTATTTCCCGCCAGCAAATAAGTTAGAAATCCCAGAGTAAAACCTGCAGTTGCTTTCAATGTCTTTAGAGGGGGTGGGTTTTCCAACCTTCTGCTATAGTCTAAGGGGTATCAAATTCACGGCCTGCAGGCCAGAGATGCGCCATGCGCTGGCCATGCCCTCCCCCGGTTTAGCACAGTGGGGGGGGGAGTTGCAATAAATCACGTGACAACATGTCATCATGAGTTTGACATCCCTGGTCTAAGGCATGTAAAGCAACTGCTTTATCAAGCATGGAGGCCCCTTCGCAATATAGAGGTTNGCTCCCCTCCCCCGCGGCAGCAGGCTGGAGCGAGAACCGCGGAGGTGAAAGGCGAAGAGGGGTGGGGGTGGGGTGTTCCAAGAGGCCCCCTCCCCTTTTTGCACTCCGCAAGCCAGGCCCGCAGCAGCAAGAGGATCCGCTCCACTTCTATTGCCCCCCCTCAGCTCCAGAGAAGCCGGCTGTGAGCGAGTCTCCACGAGCCCCGGTTTCCTCTCCCAGCAGCCCCAGGAGGAAACGGGCCAGCCCCGCTTCCCTCCCCGGACTTTCCGGCAATAGAGGACAGCATTCCGCTCCCACCGCTTTGTCCCAGAGCTCCGGCAGGCCTGCCGAGGAGGAGCCCAGACAAGGCTGGAGCGAGAGCCATGGAGGCAAAAGGCTGGCCACTCGGGGCTTGGAAGCGGAATGCTGTCCTCCACTGCCAGAAAGTCCGGGGAGGGAAGCGGGGCTGGCCCGTTTCCTCTTGGGGCTGCTGGGAGACGGAATCGGGGCTGCAAAGACTTGCCCGGGCGGCTTCTCTGGAGGGGGGGGCGATAGAAGCGGAGCGGATCCTCTTGCAGCTGCGGACCTGGCTTGCGGAGTGCCAAAAGAGGAGGGGGCCTCTTGGAACACCCCCCCCCACCCCTCTTCGCCATTTCCTTCTGGAGCTGCTGGGAGATGGAACCAGGACTGCAAACACCCCACCCCTCTTCGCCTTTCGTCTCTGCAGTTCCTCCTCGCCCCCCACCTCCTCCATCCCCACCTCTGTGTCCGCCAGGCGTCTCGCGTTTATGCCCGCCATAAACGCGAGATGCCTGGCGGACACAGCGGGGGGGACGGATGAGGCGGGGGGGCGAGGTGGCAGCCGGCGAAGAAAGGGGAGAGGAGGAAAGGAAGAGGGGAGCAGGATGGGGGGGGGAGGGCTGCCCCTCTCTTCTCAAACAAACAAGGCTCCCCTCCCTGCGTCTGCTCCTTCCCTCTCTTTTCAAGCAAACTCTCTCTCTCTCAAATTGAGAGAGAGTTTGTTTGAGTGAAGTTAAGAAAGAAACACACACACACACACACACACAAAATAAAAACAAATTACAATTACTTAAATTACAAATAATTGAATTCCTCCCCCCTCCCTCGGACCCACATACCTTCCAGCTACGCGAAAAATTCCAGATTCGGTCTAGCTAGGCTCCAGGGCNCTGGGACTAAAGAACTGTTGCCCCCGTCTCGAATTGGTATGACTGTTGTGTTTTAATCATGCATTGTTTTTTATGTCATTTTAAATTCTTGTTTGTATCCCCTTTCCCTGGTCGAGTTGTGAGCCGCCCTGAGTCCCCTTCGGGGGAAAAGGGCGGCATATAAATAAAATCAATACAATACAATACAATACCTAGGAGGCTAGCTGTCTGAGAGAGAGCTGTCTTTTTGATGACAGAGAAACCCTGCCTGTCTCTGTATCTATCAGGGCTCCTAGGTAGACCAGACTAATGGAGGGGTGAAGGTGGCTTTTGGTCAGGTTTACCGAGAACCCATGGTCTCTCAGGACTGTCATTGAGGTGTCTAGATCCCTTAGGGCACCCTTAAAGGAGGATAACTGCAACAAGAGGTCATCTAAATAACATTGAATTCAAACCGGTAACTGCCTCAGGTACACTGCCAGAACAGCCATTACCTTGGTGAAAACCTGGGGAGCGGAAGACAACCCAAAAGGCAAGGCCCGGTATTGGAAGTGGTGCCCTAGGTAGCAGAACCTGAGATATTTGCGGTGTTCCTAAGTAATGGGTATGTGCAGGTAGGCCTCTGTGAGGTCTGTAGAAGTGAGGAAATCTCCCTGCCTAACCCCCTCCAAGATGGAGTGGAGTGAGTGCATTTTAAACCTCCTATAGTGAATGAAACGGTTCAGGCATTTCAGGTCAAGAATCGCCCTCCAACCACCCGAGGCCTTGGGGATTACAAATAGGATAGAGTAATACCCCTGACCCTGCTGATCTAGAGGCGCTGGTTGAATACCCTGGATGTCCAACAGTGTTGGATGGCCTCCTGCATCAGCAACCTCCAGATCAGGTTATTTGAGACCGGGCAGATCCGGAAGAAACTCGGGGGGCTGAAAAGGAACTCAAGTGAAAGGCCATACCTAATGGTGTTCTGTACCCACTTATCAGAGGAGGATTGGTCCCAGCGGTCAGCGAATTACGCCAAGCGCCCCACCAATGGGGGGGTGAGGAAGATCTGGCTCTAGTTTTTGCGGAAGGAGTGCCCTCCACTGCCACCTCTGGTCCCTCAAAAGGGCTGCTTCTGCTGCCTGCCTCTGCTGCCTATTTGGGTATCTCTGCCTGGCAGAGAATCCTCCCTGGTACTGCCTGGCACCTGAGTAGAGCCGAGGTGGCGCAGTGGGTAGAGTGCAGTACTGCAGGCCACTTCAGCTGACTGCTAGATCAGCAGTTCAGCGGTTCAAATCTCACCAGCNAGAGAGAGAGAGAGAGAGAGAGAGATTGACTGGCCCAAAGACACCCAGCCTTAGGCTTTCATGGCTAAACTAGAATTTGGGGATCCGTTCATATTGCTGGGCTGGAGAATATGAAGAATATATAGAAAAAGAAGAGGGAACCCTCACCTGTGTTGTGCCCAAAATTTGGCTCCCATAACGCATCTACATCACTCTGAAGGTGCAACATAATTGTATTAGCCTGTGGTCACTAAAACAATATTTCCTGGATTCCCAGCTAAAACTTGGCAGCGTGTTGGCAGCCCTGAGCAAAGGCAGAATATACCATATACAGGCTTATATCGTACATACTGTAACTAGTGGCAATAGCTGTTATTAGTAACAGCCCGCTACATTGCAAAGGCAGGACAAAGGAAAAAGCAGACGTGGTGTAAATTACAGTATGATATTCGAATGAGTAGGCTAAACGTATCTGGCTGACCGTATTATTTATCCCTTCCAAATAGGGCAGGTGCCAGCTAGCCATACTACTAACTCTTTGGGATGTGGTCAGTGAATAGTAACAATGTGGTTTACTCAGCCACATATTCCTGCACATCCCTCCTCCTGGCACCTCTAGGGGTGAACTCAGCTTGTTGTGAATGTTTTCTTACCAGGCCCCCTCCAAACAGTTCATAAGAATTGGGATGGGGGGCATTTTGGAGGTTTGGTTGTGAAAGCATCTCAGATGCTTTTATCTCTACACCTATTCACAAAAAAAATATGCAGCTTTCTCCTTTTACAGAGAGATTTTGCATTGGGTACTGGCTGTGAATGTAATTGGAGAATTACTCTGGTTTCTTGTTTTTCTTCAGGTCTTGAGATCCTGTCATCTTTAACCTGACAAAGGAGCAGTAAATGATTATATCTGCCACTGGAAAAGAACCTGGGCTGCTTCTGACCACTCAACAGGAGCAGATGTCAAGCCAAGCACTACTAAGGGAAGGAGGGGAAGGGTCAAAGTTGCCTGATAAAGAAGAGCTGAACAGAAAGGTCAGTGGAAAAACAATGAAATTAATAGAATGAGAGATACCAATATGCACAATTTACATCTGTAACTTCTAATGGTAGAATATTGATACAATAATACTAAAATCTGCTTTCAGGAGATGCAATGGAATAACTTTCAGAAAGGAATCCTGTCTAGTGATACCCGCTGTTTAATAGCCCAGACTATGCTAAACACACATTAAGGATCAGGCTTCATTGGATTTGGGGCTTATATGCAGCCTAATGTAGTGCACTTTGTTGAAATAATAACTTCTCTTTGAAAAATATAATCGTCTTTTAAAAAGAACAATTTCCACTGAAGATGGAGATGCTTCTTTTAATATAGAAATTTAGTTTGGATTATATTGAATTTGACAAAAATGTACATGTTTTTGCTCCTTGCTGAAGCTGGAGTGCTAAATATCTTCAATTCGGCATGTTGCAAAAATTATAGGTGAATGTAAAAAAAAATTGCTGGTGGGGGGGGGAGAAATAGATTTGTCATATGAATCCATATGATGATAGTAAATGTCTTAAAATCTGAGCTTTAGAATTTATTTGTAATTATAGTGGATGCGATCTCTAACCCTAACAGTCCAAGTTTTCTTATTTACTGAATCATTTAACCACGTTTGGGATAGAAGTTTATGCGATACTATTTACTGACATGGCTTGAATGTATATTTTATCTGAACTGAATTCTGTGCTTCTACTCCTCTGAGTACTGTGGGGAGTTTTTTTTAAAAAAATAAAAGAATTCAAAAATTTAAAACAGAAATTAAAACAAATGCTTGAATTATAAGGCAATTGAAAGTTAAATGTCTGGTAAAAAGATGGGCTTTTAAATATTTTTTGAATGGAGTGGAGACTAAGCAATAACTCCTGGAGAAGTAAATTCTGTAGGCTGCAAGTGATACAAAAGAATTGTTTTTGCCCATCAGATAGCTCAGTCTGTAATAGTAGGACCATCTCTTACTTGCATGTTGGTTGACACTTCTGTGTGAAGACGCTACACAAGAGATTCTAAATAGACATCACTTTGTCAGTTTTTATGATGGAATAAACTTGATGCATGTAAATAAGATGTGTTTATTTTAGTTTTTAAAAAGTATATTTCTATATGTTAGGAAAATTTAAAAAGCTAATTTACAAATCATGCTTGGGAATCTTGGGCTTGTTTCTCATGGAAGTGAGATCTTTTTCTATCATTTAATTGCAGATTAAAGAGCAAAAAATTGTAGTTGATGAAATTTCCAACTTGAAGAAGAACCGGGTAAGTGCCTATAACAGTCTTATAATAGATTATTCATAATTATAAAGGAATTTATAACTGATATGTGTACTTATTTGAGCATTATGCCAATATAGAATGAGCAGATGTAACTATGCTGACACTCTAAAATATATTATTTTATTAAATTGGTTGAATTGCAATGGTCTTATATGATTTGGTAACAGGTTCTGATCCAATTCCATCTGCTCATCACCCATTTGTTGGTATTGTTACAGTATTCCATAAAGCTAATACTATATATATCTAGTGATAATGACTATTATTGATAAACCAGAATTAATCTACTTGGAGCAGCAGTCAAAATAATACATAAATGTGTAAATCACAGTAAGCAACATTGAGCACTTCCACATGTATGCATTCTTACAGCATAGCTTCTGTGCAAAACAGAAACCATACTGTAAAAAAATTAGCATTCGGTTGATATGAACATTTTGTTAAATTTCACATATAAAGTGAGAATTTGTAAATCGATCTGTAATAAACACACTGTACCATGAAAGTAATATGCAAGGTGAATGCATTTTTAGATTACAAAGCTGTGAGTAGGAACTGATTTTTTTTGGCAAATTCCTCTGAATACTATTTCCATGATTACAGAGGACAATTAAACCTGTTAATAAAGGTTACAAATAGAGAAAGGGGGGTGGGGTGGGGGAGAGAGTCATATTTTTGATGTAATCCAGCTAGAATTAATTTTTAACCTCAGAAAGGATGATGTATTGAGAATTTAACCCCCAAAAGTTGTATGGACCAGGACTACTTAATGTATGCCTACTATTGAGGATAACACAGAAATTATATCTGCTGCCAAATGTGGCTGGGATTGTAGCATCTTTGGAACCTTCTTTGAAACCACACTTGCATTGCCGTTATTCATTGGCTGCCAGTAGTCTTTTAGCTTCAATTGAAAATACTATTGCCTATGAAGCCCTATGCACCACAGCTATTGAGCTCAATAGAAACTGTTTTCATCACTATCATTGTCATGTTGTGCTCAAGCATCTAAGGAGGATCTGCTAAGGATCCTACATATATGAATATATAGACCAGGAAGCAGGCCTTCTCTTTTACATATTTTATAAAATGTGTTACACTCAGCACTACATCTGGTCCCATTATTTCTGGCACTATGGAAAGTGGTAAAATATTTTGCAGTGGCCTTTTGTTTCTTACCGTTTTCTACTACCCAATAGTTATGTTTAATGATTTTCAGATTTTGCTTTACTGCGAGAGATATTGTATTTTCTTGGCATTTGTTACTTATTTAGCACCCTAAACTGATACCATCTTAACAAGTGTCTAAAAAATGAAAGATAGATGATATTACATGATTCCAAAAATAGAGCTAGCTTGCAGATTTTTTTTTAAATGGGGAGTTTGAAGCAAGCTTTGTTTTGGTTGAAGAAGAGAATTTCACATCTGTTTCTATAGATTTTGTACTTTTAATCTCAGTGGGAGATAACTCAGAAATGGAAAGGTGAAACTAGAAAAAGTCTTTCTTAACGTTGAACCTTTTTAATTTGCAGAAAGTATACAGACAACAACCAAACAGCAACATATTCTTCCTAGCAGACAAAACTCAAACTCTCTCCGAATGCAAAAGTATGTTCCTCAGATATATTTATATTTTAGACATTTTAGAATATATCACTTAATATTAAATATTGTTCAGTGAGATGAATTGACATTTTTGTTTTCACACAGTGGGGTTGTAGTATAAAAGGTTGGCATTTTTGTATGCTCAATGGATTATTTTTATCTGAAGTGATAAAATCATGCTACATGTTCAGAAACATAATATGTGCATCAGAGGTGGGTTGCTACCGGTTCGGGCAAATCGGTAGTAGAAATTGGGACTGGGTTGCCAAACCGGTAGGGACCGGTAGAGTCACGTATGCCGTTGCTGGCATGTTTTTAGTCATTTTCTAATGTTCTGTGCATGCGCAGAACAACTTACAGGCAACTGCGTATGCGCAAGCAACGTGCGGTGCGTGCAAGCGAAGCAAGCAGTAACACCGGCAGCAACCTACCCCTGATGTGCATATGCAGGTAGTCTTCATTTAACAGTGGTAATTAAGACTGGAATTTTGATTGCTAAATAATGCAGTCCTAAAACACAATTCTAAATATATTTTAAAAATAGTTCTGTAATAACTAGAAGGTCATGTATTGCTCATCCCTTCCCTTTGGGAATGATCCTCAGTTCTGTAATGCTACAGCAAAGAAGACTCTTTCCTTTATCACCATGTAACTATGGAAATATATATCCAAAAGCCTCCCTGAAAATCTTCAGGAACATATCTCGAGCTTTTTGGAACATGAAAGTTACATACTATTGTCTAAGTTAATAATGTTAATTAGGCAACTCCAGAACTCAGTATAATAATTTTCCATCTACCTACACAGTTGTAATTCTGTCAATTTGATTTTGAGCTAATTGAGGATATCGCAATCAAAGTTATAGATCAAAAATTTAATTACCGTATATTTGTTTGGCATTTACATGGAACCAAAAGATTAATGTTTAAATAGACTAAAAAAATCAGCTAAATAATATATAACAGGGGGATGTTTCATTATTAAATATGGTTTTTATACAGATAAGGATCTGATATTTTATTTCAGTTATACATGAGGCAGTAAATATTCTGAAGGGAGTTACATTACTGTCATTAAAAAAGGACTGCTTTCAAACATTTGAATTAAATGGTAGTACATTATCTCTAGGGAGAGTTTATTTCATAAGCCATGTTGACAGTTTGAAGCCATGTTGACAGTTTGTTCCAATAATAATGCTTTTTCTTACAGCTATATTTTCCATGTCTATCAAAGGCAGTGACAGTGAGGAAGACTTCTTCCATTCTGTGCTTTGGTTGAGGTGTCCCTGAATAACTGACCAGATCAATGGTCTCGCTAGGGAGTGAAACATATGCAGCTGATATTTGTTCGTGCACTGGATTAGTATAATTGAAAGGACTGTAAGGCAGATTCTTATGTATGGGTTATGGTAAACGTGTATTCTGGAGTTACATTGAACTTAATTGTATATAATTGTATATGTATTTATAAGCTACTTTAAATATTTGCATGATTCTCTCCACCTTTTAATTAATACGTTAAAAGCAAGATATTCTCTCCCCCCCCCCCCAGTTACTTTAGATGAACTAAAGAAGGCTCATCAAGAAATAGAGAACCCAGAAAAGACCAAGACCAAGAAATAAATAAGTCCAGTACAAGTTTACAATGTGTGGAATTTGCTGTGTGATCAGCTTATCTGCTTATGCCCCTGGAAGTAGCATCTTGGAAGAAGATATCCTAAATAATCTTAAAAGAAGGGGGCCCAATAGAAGCCAACAACTGGAAAAGGCTGTATTTCATATTCCATATTGGTGCTTATTTTCTGGCCATGTACTTCATTTAAGGGGGCCAATGACTTCGCAGCCATTGGAAGCCTCTGGTAATGTATTCCTTTGGAATGGAGAAATCTTCGGTGGGATTTCTATGGAAAGGGAAGAGAATGACACTCAAGTTATTTTTCGCCGTCTCTGCTCTTGCAATAGTGACTCTGATTTTTTGACAGCCCTGTCCTCCGTTCAAGGTCCATGGTCTTTCATTTTTTATCAGGCATCCAGGCATTGCTTATGGTTTGGCAGGGACTATTTTGGCCGTCGAAGTCTGCTGTGGCAGTTTAATAAAGAGGGTAATGCTGTTCTTGCATTGAGTTCTGTTAGTTCTGCCTCTCATCATCCGTGGCTGGAAGTTCCAGCATCGGGGATTTTTCAGATGAATCTGCAGGATTGTGTTGCTCATAAATCTATTACTTTAATGTTGCATCCTTGGAGATTTCCTCCCAGACAAAATGTAGTTGGAGAAGTAGCCCCTGGAGATTTAAGCATGGTTTCTAAATCTTTACCTGCTTATGTGTCTCTTGTGATGAAGATATCCACTTCTTTGATAGCTCCTGTCATTCCTTTAAATAAGGAATTTTCTGACATGACAGTAGAATCCCAATCATTTAGTTTTCCCTCGACTATAGCCGATGTGGAAGTTCTTCAAAAATTTCTTACAGAGCCTCACAGGAAGGAAAGAGTCCATCAGTTTATTGATGTATTGAGTAGAGCTGTAAAGAAACGGGTTTTATGCCTAATGAGAAACAGTCATCCAATCAGAGAAGAAACATCAGAGAAAGACCTGAAGAAATCGTATATTGCCATACTTTTTTCTGGTGGCCTTGATTCTATGATTATAGCTGCCCTTGCTGACAGGTATGTCCCCTTGGAGGAACCAATTGATCTTCTCAACGTGGCCTTCGAAGTTACAGGCCAAGGTACCCAACACAATTCCATTAAGAAATACAGCAAAGAGAAGAGACAATTTCCCCCTTGTCAGGAATGTTTAAATGTCAAGAATACTGCGACCAGTGACTCTTCTTCTTTTAATGCTCCTGATAGAATTACTGGCAAGGCAGGATTAGAAGAATTAAAGATAATTAATCCTTCAAGAACTTGGAATTTTGTGGAAATCAACGTTACGCTCGAGGATTTAAAAGCAATGAGAGTGAAACATATAAGACACTTAATTTATCCACTGGATACTGTTTTGGATGACAGTATAGGTTGTGCCGTATGGTTTGCTTCCAGAGGAGAGGGTCTGCTTACCAATCAGGGAGCCGTTCAACCATATAAAAGCCCTGCAAAGGTATGAAATTATTGACCATCTCCATTTTTTCAATTCAAATTGCATAAAACTGTTTAAACTCCATAACTGGCATTATAAGCCTAATGCTACTTAATAGGGACTAATCTCATTGGTGTCTAATGGTACCAATCTCCAACATACTAAAACTCACACTACACACAGCTTACACTACATGCATAACCCCATAACTGTAAAATTAAGAGTGTTTTGTGGTAAAATAATGCTACCAATGATGAAAGAGGTTTAGAGAATGTTTGCAGTATACAAGGAAGTAGATACATGCAGCTACATTGAATTTAGCATTGGAAATTGTGGCAGAGAAACCAAAAAAAAAGTCCATTTTGGGCCCATACTATTATGCACAATTTGCTTTTTGTGTTTACAATTTTAATTTCTTTTGTTATATTTCTTGTTCAGGCTTAAAAAACAAATCCTTTCTTTTTTGCTTTTTTGTATTAAGGAAGTCTTAGTAAATATTTTTCATTGTGGTTTTTATATAGCCATGCTACATCTTGTAGCTATGGCTAGATTTTCATCCATTAAACAACTTGTATAAATTGGATTCTCCATTGTAAATTACTTTTAGATTTATTTGGAATATAATGATGATGTCTGTGTTAGTATCCTCTGCTCATTACAGGTGGTATTTCTATATTCATTACAGGTTGTCCTTACAGGAATTGGAGCAGATGAACAACTTGCAGGGTATTCCAGGCACCGAGTTTGCTTCAAAAAAAGTGGTTTTGAGGGTTTGACTGAAGAATTAAGAATGGAACTAAGTCGTATTTCTTCTAGGAATCTGGGTCGAGATGATAGAGTTATTGGAGATCATGGCAGAGAAGCTAGGTAAGCAGGTGTGCAACAGATAAGTCTGTCCTTGACTGGACATATTAAAATTCAGATAATAATAAGGAATAAAGGCAGCAAAATCTAATAGATAAATGGGAGAAACAGTTCACATGTTATGGTAAAAAAAGGCAGAGTCTACTTTCAAAAGTCCTTTTTTGTCATGCATAATACAATATTTTCTCCTGGTAGATAATATCCCAGAGTTCAATAGCATTATTAACTATTAATTCAGTACTAATAATTGCCATATCAGAAAAAAAATGTTTGGAATGGGAATCCAACTTCACAAACATATCCATGAGATTTGTTTGTGAAGTTCTTACAGATGTGAACTATGATGCATTTCTCTCTTGGGGTGGAGGAGAACATAGAACAATATTTAATATTTTTTATCATCGATTTTCTTTTCTTTGTGCAAACAAACTCAGTGGCTCAGATCCAAGAAATTCTGTGAAATAGCATTAGGAAAAGAGTGCTGAGACTAAAGTAGCATTATCTGGGTCCTTAAGGAGGCTTTTCATTAAAAAACAAAAAACAAAAAATACACCTGTTGAAATAGGTGATTATAAAAATAAATTTACAATATTTCAATGTATTGTAAGCAGATTACAGATTAACAGAGTTGGAAGGGACCTTGTAGGTCATCTAGTCCAACCCCTCGCCCAAGCAGGAGACCCTGCACCATTTCTGACAAATGGCAAGTCCAATATATTCTTGAAAGCTTCCAGTGATGGAAGCTCCCACAACTTCTGAAGACAAGCTGTTCCATTGGTTGATTGCTTCTCACTGTCAGAAAATTTCTCCTTATTTCCAGGTTGAATCTCCCCTTGTTCAGTTTCCATTCATTATTCCTTGTCTGGTCTTCAGATACTTTGGAAAAGTATGACTCCCTCCTCTCTATGGCAGCTCCTCAAATATTGGAACACTGCTATCATGTCTCTTCTCTTCATAGACTAGCCATGCCCAGTTCATTGTATGTTTTAGCCTCCAGTCCCCTAATCATCCTGGTTGCTCTTCTCTGCACTTTTTCTAGAGTCTCAACATCTTTTTTTATAGGGTGGTGACCAAAACTGGATGCAGTACTCTAGGTGTAGTCTAATGAAGGCTTTATAGAGTGGTATTAATACCTAATTTGATCTTGATTGTATCCCTCTGTTAATGCAATTTAGGGTTGCATTGGCTTTTTTGGCTGCCACCGCACATTGTTAGCTCATATTTAATTGGTTGTCCACTAAGACTCTTAAGATCCCTCTCTCTGTTACTGCTATTAAGCCTGGTTTCACCCAGTCTATATGTGTACTTTTGGTTTTTCTTGCCTACTCTAAGTGTAAGACTTTACTTTTCTCTACATTGATCTGGACTAAAGCATTGAAATTAACTATAGTTGTTATAGTATTCAGGATCGTAGCTGCCAACCGTGGCATGACAAAACCGCGAAGCCCTTATCCGCGGAGACATAAGTGTGTCGCTAAAGCCGCGACATCATCATTGCGCGTCATCACCGCCGCGGCAACAGAAGGGCGCTTTAAAACGGCGCCGTAGCAGAAAGCCGGTTTCCATTAAGGTTAGGATTAGGTTTAGGGGTTTGTTTTAGGGTTAGGTTTAGGGTTAGGTTTAGGGTTAGGTTTAGGATTAGGTTTAGGGTTAGGTTTAGGGTACTGAGTGCTTGGGAATGCGCGGATTTGCCCTCCGCGATTATGTCATCGCGGTAGGGTCGCGTTTTTCCTTAGCGCTTTGAACGGTGCGAATTAGTCTTCGTGCTTATGTCTCCGCGGATAAGGGCTTCGTGGATTTGTGGTGGAACCCTCTTGAACCATACAGCAACCCAACCAGAATCCAACTCTCTACTGTTCCCTCGCTCCCCAAAGCTTTGGAACACTGTGGCATAACTAGGACATTATGCCCTGTATCTAAAGCACAGTCAGTTTCAAGCGTAAGAGCAATGAAGACGGGGAAAGTGAATTAAAAAAAAGAGTATATGTTTCATAGGATATTCAGCTGTTATAGGAA